GGTTTTTTCGCAATCTCTCGGACAAGCACTGAGCACACAGTGTTTATTGATATACGTTGGGTAAGGGCAAACCTGTTATATATAATTAGCATCAATTTGACAAGTTTTAAGGGTAGCCTATTGCTCTTAACACTTGCATTCTTCATATTCTCCAGGCAGGAAGATAAGTGTGTTGCCTTGCACTCTTATTTATCTGTACATGTAGATTTGCAGGCAGCCAGACTCGGAGACATTGTAATGTGGCTTTTTTGCCCGGTTCGAAACCAACTGCTTTGCGTTGAATCCGAATGGTTTATAATGGCCTCACATTTTTTTAAAGTCCAACAAATTGTAAGCCTAATCTTCAACTTGCATTTCATGCAGGTCATACACATGTCATTTTTGCTTTTTTTAGGCTTTACAAAATAAAATGTACGTTGAAACTTACATGTACGCACGTAGTCAGCGGTAGTAGGGCCGGCCTATGCCAGAAATTGATGTGTAGTTTGATTTTACATTGAAGATTGGCCTTGGCCCTGATTCCAAGTTCCATATTGTGCCTGTGATTATATTACTACATTTAACTGTTTTTGCGGTGTATACACGTATTTGCTGTACATGATGAAGCGAGTTAAAATTCGATATAGTGATTCGTATTGGACAAAACTTAGACGTATCAGAAAAAATGTCGCAGCTGCAATGCAAAATGTAGAAAATTGGTTGAATCCAGGGGAAACCTCTGAAGCTGAGGTACATATACCTGTACACCTTGATAACAGTGGCATGCCTGACACTTTGAAAATGAACATTGCCATTATGGTGAACAGGGTGTTACTGATGTTGAAGCCAGTTCCAATTTATGTGTATCCGACGACGAAGCAGCACAAGATACATGTATCTTTGTTGAACATGAAGTGCATCAGCATCATTCACCATCAGGAAGGGAAACTGAGCGTATATCAGAAGATGAAGGTGACACGTAGAGTTGTTATTCATTTGAGGGTTCTTTCCAAGATGGTGACTCCGAGTCTGAGCATGAAGGGGATCCACATGCAGAAGGAGCTCTAAAACATGACATCAAACAAGACCTGTCTCTTTAACTAGGAAACTGGGCTGCAAATTCTAATATTTCCCATGAAGTAGTTCGCAAACTGTTAAAAATACTCAAGGTTCATCATCCAGAATTACCAACCGATCCAAGAACTCCGCTAAACACACCACAACATTGCAATACAAAGGAAATACGTGGTGGACTTTACTTTACTTTGGCCTTGTGAATGGAGTTTCAAATGTGCTCTGTTCTGTTGGTGAAAACATCCCAGAAACCATTCATGTCCAGGTAAATATAGGTAGATGGACTACCTCTCTTCAAAAGGTCAAAAACACAATTTTGGCCAAACATGGGCAGAATTGTTGAGTTCAAGGAGTGTTCCCCTTCATCATTGGGCTTTTCAGTGGCAACCGCATGATATTATTGAGTACAAAATCCTGGGTTACCTGGGTTACGTACATAAACTCCCACATGTTTTGACCAGTGGGTAGGATATTGGATCGTCCCCTCACAAGCATCCACCACTCCTGGTAAAAGGTGTTGTTTCGGACTTCCCGACAACCAAAATGTATTCAGTAGTACTGACAAATAAAGAAATGCGATTTTCTCGAAACCAGGATTTTACTTTTCTGATAGACTTTTGTCTCTTAGTGAAAACGGTGACGAAATGTAAGTGTAGGGGCCTACAAAAAAATGAAATGAATATCTTTCAACACCTATTTGTCACATTTTGAGCTTTAAAATACTCTATATTTTCATTTTCATTGAATATGATTACTTTCTGGAGGAGGGATTGCTGTCGCTTATTAAATAGAAACTACATGTAGCTGTTTCTTTCTGAACTTTTAGGTAAAAGGCGATTTGAGGTCATCAAAGGCAGTGTGACAAACGGTGGGACAGACGCTTCATTCAATGGGGCAAACTCAGCGTCCGAAAGCGAATTCTGAACAGAGCAGAAGATGCTACCGGGGGAGGTAGGCCAACTCTGTATGAGTGCAAAAAAATTGAAAATTGTAACTCTGAACAATTTAATGGGCTAGAGAAGAAGTTAAAGGGTGGTGATTTTGAAAAACTGCGACACTTTGAGCAGACGGCTTCAGTGTTACACAAAGGGTACTTCAACCGACGTAGCAAGGATTAACATTTGTAGCAGTGATTTTGAGCTACAGTTTGAGCCTGTTTCCTTAGGCCATATGTCACTGTTGTGGCCATATGTCACTGTTGTGGCCATATGTCACTGCAGATATCAAGTTACATCTATAAAAGAGAATTGGTTAGCTGAGAAATTACTGTTCCAAATAATGTAAGATAAGGTGAATGAGCAGATTATTATTTTCATTTTCCCGCTGAACTGTCATATTGTTATATCTTCCCTCCCCACAGAAACATTCCGGATTAAGGCTTCTTACAGCAGTGCTGTTGATATCAAGGAGTATGAATCAACAACCGAAATCAAACGGGCTTTTCGCTTGTGTGCACATGTATCCATTTGCTTGCAAGTGATTCCTTTTAATTTGAACGTGTATTATGGATCAGCCGACGTATTACT